CAGCACAGCTGCTTGTTATTACCGGATGGGTGAGAAACGCAGGGAGACAGTTTGCTGGTGTTTTTCTGTTTTTCGGGGCATTCAGAGGGAGGATTAGCGTTAAACAGACAGGGATGTGTTTCAGGGAGTTTTTTGTTCAAGGTTTTTACTGGAAACTGACGCAGTAATAATAAGACTCGGCCTCATTCAGCTCCAGGTTCTGTACCATTAAACTTGATGGTTCAGTACCAACGTTTCTCTGGCAAAAGGAACTATTTTTCCAGGGTGGCCTGAGACTAAAACGTAAACTGGGAATGCTGCCATTCCAGATCCACAGGAAGAAAAAGATGAGCCTGCAGAAGAGCCTGGCTATGTTTCTGCTTCCCGACAGACTCAAAACAACAAAAATATTCACTAAAATTAAGATTATGAAGCTTCTGCCGCTACAAACGCAGCTCAGCGTTGTTAAAACCTGATCAGGGTTAGAAACAGGAACATTACGGAGAAACAATCCGACCCTGGAAGAGTCGGAAGGTTTCAGATGGAGAAGCTGCTGCTAACAATTACTCTACTTTATAGTTCCCTCAATTATAGAAAAATCAGAGGATTTAACCCAAAAGCACCTGTTCCTCCTGGAGCGCAGCACCAAAAAGCGAGTTTCGACACTGCACCCTGAAAGTGCCAGTTCCTGGAAGCTGCAGCGTAAGCGATGCCACGTGGACGCGCAGCAGCCAGAGACCTTCTTCTTCTCCTCAAATCATTTTTTCTTCCCATTTTTCTCTGGAATGTGAGGAAAGCAGGAGGGCTGCGCTGCACATGTTCCTCTTTCACAATATCTGACCCCAACAGGGAAAACTCAGAAAGTCTGAGGAACGCAAAGACATCACATCAAGCAGGACGCAACTGCTGACTTTGACTAGACCATTTGTAGAGCTGCAGGTGATTCAGAATCACTAATCATATGTCTAATTATGTTTTCTGTAGAAAAGGTAAAATCCAAAATAACTTTCTCAATTATTTTTTTAAACTGGATTTTCCAAAACAGAAAAAGGAGATTTATGAAATAAGTGGCTCAAACGTTTCTCTGCGCCTTACCAGAGGCACCACGCCGTCTCCATGCTTCCTGTTTGTTCCAGCCATGAGTAGCATCTGGTGACATCACACTTTGAGTCACCTGATTAATTTGCTCCAAACCAGGAAATGGAAACAAAATCAAAAAGGAAAAAACTGCTTATTTTGCTTTTTTGCCAAAGTTTCCAATAAAGTTCAGTGGAACAGAGCATTTCAGCAACAAGTGTTTACATCATAAAAACATCATAAACGTCATAAACGCGTCATTCAGTCACCAGCTGCGAAAACCAGAAGCAGATTTTGCATTTTCTTTCAGAAACTCAAATATGTGATTATTCCAATTATTCTGGTTCAAAAGTTACTAAACAGCTGAAACTTATTTAAACTTCATTTAAAGGAACTTTCAGCTGTTTGTCCTATTTGTATTATTATATATTAGATACATTTATTTCACTGAGTTTACAGAAAACATGAACCCGTCAGAAATAAACTACTGAAAAGATTAAAACGCTTCAGAGAAACATCTTTAGATTTGGTTTCTGAAAACGCAGCAGAAACCCAGAAAGATGTTTTCCAAGTTCAGTTTGGACTTTTGGGAAAGTAAAAAAAAATTCTCAGAATGAAAAAATTATTATTTATGAATAAATAAATTGATTCTAAATAAAAACGTGCCGATAGCTGTCCATCCCACTTGGCTGTTTAATAACAATGTGGAAAACTTTTTAAACTTGTTATAAATCCATAATTAACAAAATAAAGATCAGACAAACAAACTGCATGTTTCAGTTTGTACCAAACCTCTGCTGCAGGGCTCGATCCCCCCCCAGCATCATCCTGCCACCACCGAGCCACAATGTGGAGGGAAACCAAGCGGTTCTGATGACACGACCAACACAGGAAGCCCATGTTTCAGATTCACCTCCAGCCGGTTTTCCAGCTGCACGACTCGCGGTTTCAGCCATGTTACTGTAATAAATTGCGTCTTGTACGCGGCTATTAAAGGCTGACATTACTGCCGGGTAATGGCAGGATCCAAGCAGCCGCAGAGTAACAGACTTTTCTTAGTTTATAACTGCTTCCATATGATCTCCGTTCAATAGATCATATTAAATAACCTCTTACTTCATAAACATGCAGGTGAGTTTTACATGCGGCAGAAAGGAGCCGAAATGAAGAAGCAGCAGCAGAAACACAGCGAGGCGATGAAGATCATTTGTTTTCAGAATCAAAGCCAGTCGGTCTAATATTCATACAACTGGGAGCAGATTATTGGACACTTTAACTGAACAATTATCATCCGTGACCGACGCCGTGATCAAGTCAATATGTTGTCTCTGACCCGCTGAAGAGGGCTGCAAATTTACTGCACAGACCTGGAAGCAATTAGCAGTTTGATGCGCTGCGTGTCTAGCAGGTGGCGCTAGAGCAGCTGAGTGCAGCTGCATGAATCCTCCACAGATGTTAAAGTCAGAGATGACGTTATGCAGTTCAGAGTTGACACATGTAAGAACAACAGTCATCATTTTATTCATTAATGTCTGGAAATCTGGACGGAAGGGAAAGTTTTGCTGCAGCAGTGGGTGCAGCTGTAGCTGCAGCAGTGGGTGCAGCTGTAGCTGCAGCAGTGGCTGCAGCCACTAGCTGCTGCTGCAGCTCTCAGGGTCCTAATGAACTGCTGCTGCATTATGCATGCATCCTGCAGAATGTTCCAGGAATACACCTGCACTGCTGCACAGCGAAACACACGCCTCCAACTCCTTCATCAGCTTCAAATACTGGTTTACTCTGCAGAACCAGAACCAGAACCAGAACGCAACCTTCAGGCAGTGTGAGCACAGCTGAAGCCAGACGGACACAAAGCTGAGGATTAACAAACAGTTTAAGTGGAAAAGCAAAAACCAGAAAACGTATTTTCAGTCAAACTCGTTTAAAACCTTTAAACTGCCGCAGTGACTCGTCTGTTTCGGTTCTGACCCAAATGTCCAGGAGTTTCAGAACCAAACATGAACAGAACCAGAGCAAAGCTTCATCTGTTATGTGATGAACGGCGAGTTTCCACCAAACTCTGTGGAATCACCTGCATCAAACTAAAAAAAACTAAAACAAACTGAAACAAACTGAAAAACTGAAACAAACTGAAACAAACTAAAACTGTTTCAGTTTTGATCTTTTTATCCATCTAAACAACTAAACGTCTTTATGAAACAAAACTAGTAAAAAATGCTCACAGGTTGGATTTCAAGCTGGTTCTCAGTCAATGAAACCGAGAAAAGATGAGCTACATTAAAAAGAAGCTAGGCTAAACTAAACTAGCTTGGTTTATTACTTTGTTTCTCATTTGGTTCTTGGTCAAACATTAACAACTTGATTCAATCTGTGAAATTTGAACATTAAGTCCAACATTTTTTACATTAATGATTCTGTTGAATTTGGCAAAAATGTCTGAATATTCTGAATTTTTACGTAGAATAATCTAAAAAACAGGACAAATTAATCACACACTGCTTGGAAAATCCAGATAAAAAAAATTTTTGTTTAAATGTGTTAATCTCTTGAATTATTTTTTAGTAACTGTTCAAGTATCAATCTATCCCAGAGTGAATTAATAAGCTGTAAATCTCTGAAGAAAACACTGAAAGATCTTTCAGAAATACTGGATTTCTAGATTTTAATCTTTCCTTCTACTAACCTGAATCTGAGTTATTAGAAGGAAAAATGTAGGAATGTAGGAGAGCAGATTAGAGAATGAAACTCGTTAACTTCTGAGGGTAAAGCAGAGTTTTGGTTGATTCCACTGAGGATCCATCCTATGTAGAGCAGCAGAGTTTGCATCAGTGAAGACGCGGACGGCTCTCCTGTAGAAAGGTGAAGTGACTCCAATCAGCAGAACGTTTCTGTGTGTGTTGGTGTTTCAGATGTGCTGGTTGGCTGAGCTGAAAGCTGAGCTGCTGAGTATCGATCCGCCGGTCTGAGTGCTGAAAGCCGACCCGTCTGCCGTCCATCACGGCTCAGCTGCCAGATAAACGGCTAAAAGCTCCACCAGGGGCGGGTCTCAGTTACAATATTCTAAAATACACATGAAAGATGCCATTATTACTTCTAAACCTGATCCTGCAAAATTTATAATTATATAATTTTACGGCTACAAAATAAACTAGAAAAATTAGCATGTCCTGTGACAATGCAGTGATTGCTGTTAGCTGATTTGTTTTGGTGAAAATTGCAGAAGCATTGTGAATCAGCTGCAGAAGAAAACAAAACTGTAGAAGAGGAGCAAAAGGTTTCAGTAAATGCAAAACAAAATCTGTGCAGAACATTTTTTCAAAACTGCAGTTTATAAGGTAAAATGAGCAGCTAGCATTACCAAAGCTAATGCTAGCTGAAATACTAATGACAGCATGGAGGCCTTCATTAGCATGTTGACCTACAGTGAAATACCTCAAGCAGAGTGATAAACCTATATGAATGCTAAAATTGGCTGAAGAGCTAAACCTAGCTTAACAGTGTAATATCCGGCTTGATTAAAGCAGAACTCACAAAGAAACACACAAGGGGGATCTTGTTCCAGGTAAAGGTTAAAAGTGTTACTAGGTCAATTTGATAAAAAAACAAATGTTCACCCACTCAGTATGAAATTAAAGGTTTGCACCAGAAATAATTTATTCAGAAACCCAAAATTTGAATAGTTAATCAACCTAAATCAACATGAAAACCCACCCAAAATATCAAGAGTCTGATTTGCCTTGTCAGGCTGATTCACAAACCACACTTAAAAAATAGAAAATCCCAAAAGTCCTGTTGCTTTTTTATATTTTTGTCCATAAAGGAGTCCCATACATCCAAATCTAACCACGACCTGGATGCGTCGCTCCGTATTAATCCCCGTCTTCTTCCCCAAGAAAAATCCAAAACGTCAAAAAAAAAAAAAAAAAAAAAAAGATGAGAAAAAAGAAGAGTGGTACCACCCCAAAAACCCCAAAAGAAAATAAAGTCCAGATCTCACCGGGAGCGTCCCTTTTCCCCCCCGGTGGTTTCCTCCATGGACTGTCGTCGTCCTTCTGCACCGGGCGGCGTTCCCTCGGTGCACCCTCCGGTCCAGGCTTCCGGGCCCGATCTGTGGCGCTGGGACGAACCTTAATCGATGTTTTATCTTTTTGTTACTTTTCTTTGGTTTAAACAGACACTAAGGATAAGGCCAAAACTCCCGCTGCACAGATCGACACATGAGCGTCTTTCTTACAGATTGCGCCGCGCCTTCTGGCGCACACGCCCCCTTTTTATCTCTAATTCCCACACACCTGGCCCCAAACATGATTTACCCAACATCAGTTTAACAGTGGAACTTCGACATTTTTTTCTTATGTTTTTATTTATAATGAAATCCACAACTGTTCCACTAGACAGCTTGGCATTTTTAACATTTATTATATTTGCTGAGAAAAACAAAACATAGTGGTTATGTTACAACAGCAATGATAGCCCCGGCGTTAGCACTAGCATGTTGGAAAAGCAGACGTCCCTGCTGTCAGTGTTTCTGCTGACACATGCACAGGTCTATGCATGTTTGGCCTCCTCTTCCTGGAATCAAGCACATTTTGAAGAAGGGTGGAGGCAGCAGCTACTGAAGAAAAAAACGCTGATTGGCTGCAGCTTCCCTGCACTGACACGTGATTGGTGAATCAGAGCTCAAACTAGTTTCTGTTCTCAGGAAATTAAACTAACAGTCACTGTGGCAGAAAGGAGAATGGCGCAGCAGGGAGTTCATGTGGACCGAGAAACTTTCTCCTGTTTCATCTGTCTGGATCTACTGAAGGATCCGGTGACGATTCCCTGTGGACACAGCTACTGCATGAACTGTATTAAAAGCTTCTGGGATGGAGAGGATCAAAAAAGAATCCACAGCTGCCCTCAGTGCAGGAAAACCTTCAAACCGCGGCCGATCCAGGAGAAGAGCACCGTCCTAGCAGCTTTAGTGGAGCAGCTGAAGAAAACTGGACTCCAAGCTGCTCCTGCTGACCACCGCTATGCTGGACCTGAAGATGTGGCCTGTGATATCTGCCCTGGGGGGGAGGTGAAAGCCATCGAGTCCTGTTTGTTCTGCCTCATGTCTTTCTGTGAGAAACACCTTCAGCCTCATTATGATTCAAATACTTTAAAGGAACACAAGCTGGTGGAGCCAAACAAGAACCTCCAGAAGAACGTCTGCTCTCGTCATAATCAGTTGTTGGAGATTTTCTGCCGTACTGATCAGAAGTTTATCTGTTATCTCTGCTCTGTGGATGAACATAAGGGTCATGACACAGTGTCAGCTGCAGCAGAAAGGACTGAGAGGCAAAGAGAGCTGGAGGAGAGACGAGGAAACATCCAGCAGAGAATCCAGGACAGAGAGAAAGATGTGAAGCTGCTTCAACAGGAGGTGGAGGCCATCAATCACTCTGCTGATAAAACAGTGGAGGACAGTAAGGAGATCTTCACTGAGTTGATCCGTCTCCTCAGGAAAAGAAGCTCTGAGGTGAAGCAGCAGATCAGATCCCAGCAGGAAACTGAAGTGATTCGGGTCAAAGATGTTGAGAAGAAGCTGCAGCAGGAGATCACTGAGCTGAAGAGGAAAGACGCTGAGCTGGAGCAGCTCTCACACACAGAGGATCACAACCAGTTTCTCCTCAACTACCCCTCACTGCCAGCACTCAGTGAGTCCACACTCTCATCCAGCATCAGCATCCGTCCTCTGAGACACTTTGAGGACGTGGCAGCAGCTGTGTCACACCTCAGAGACATAATGATGGACATCCTGAGAGACTCATGGACAAACATCTCACTGATGGACACAGAAGATGATTTAATAACAGAACCAGAACCAATAACCAGAGATGGATTCTTAAAATATTCATATGAAATCACTCTGGATCCAAATACAGCAAACACACAGCTGGGGCTCTCAGAGGGGAACAGGAAGACGACACTGATGGACCAACTTCAGTCTCTTTCTAGTCACCCTGACAGATTCACTGATGAGCCTCAGGTTCTGAGCAGCCAGCGTCTGACTGGACGGCGTTACTGGGAGGTGGACTGGAGCGGGAAACTGGTTCGTGTTGCAGTCGCTTACAAGAGTACCAGCAGAGCAGGAAGGTGGAATAAATCTTTATTTGGAAGTAACAACAAATCCTGGGCATTAATTTGTTCCCAAAAAGGTTTTCAGTTTTCTCACAATGACATCTGGGAATCCATCTCAGGTCCGGTTTCCTCCAGAGTGGGAGTGGACCTGGACCACAAAGCAGGTACCCTGTCCTTCTACAGAGTCTCTGAATCCATGACTCTGATCCACAGAGTCCAGACCAGATTCACTGAGCCGCTGCATGCTGGGGTTTATGTAGGGGAGGTTTGGGATTCTGCACAGTTCTGTAAACCCAGATCGATTTCCTCTCCTCTCTGATTATTGATCAGGGTTCATTGATCTGATGCTTCAGCTCTGCTGTTCAGATTTTTTCTGTTTAAATGCATTTCTCTCTGTTTTCTTTCATTCTTTAATGACTCTAAAACAAAATGTAAACTTCTTTATCTCTGATATTTTGATGTATTTAGATGTTCTGGTTTCTCTTCCACTGTTCTGCAGAACAAATATTGTTCTTGTTTAAATCAGTTGAGATTGTAATGAACTGAACTTGCTTCTGTTTTCCTCACTATAATAAAAGAAACTGGAATCAACATCAAACTATGAAGTGATGCTGTTTTTCCATGTAGAAAAACTGTTGTGTGTTTTTGCCTTCAGTAAAACATCTTGATGACTCAGAAATGCTGACGGTTTTCTCTTCATTGTGATTTGCACTGACATGTCCACACAGTCTGCAGGCGCTGATTCAACACTCATCACTTCTCAAGGTTTCAATAGAGAACAAAATGTGATCTGGCGACTAATCTACAAGATTTGATAATATTTCAGAAACAGTTATTTTAGATTTAAAAATAACTGTTTTTAAATCTTCTAGATTTAAAAACAGTAAAAATAATGTAGGTTCATTTTTACAAATTTCAATGACATATTTACATTGCCATGTTGTTTATGCAGCAATGCATCCTGGGTAGAAGGCGTGCTAGTTGCTAGCTCCATTTAGCCAAAACAAAAAGAATGTTTTGCAAAGGAAAAACATTTAGCCCTTCCAGTTTGAACCAGAACACATTGAAATTAAATTTAATGCAGAAATGAGGAGGAGAGATGAAGATGAGGAGACCTTCAGTGAAACGGCTGCAGTCGCTGCTTGGCGATGCTAACCAGAAGGAGAGCAAAGCTGCAAACGGCTCCAGTTCCTGAATCATGACGCTTACGGTTAGAATCTGATTTGGTGATTGCTCCCCCCATGATGTTAGCTCCTGCTAATGACAGGCGTTAGCTCTAGCTACTGATGTTAGCTCAAGGTAATGGTGTTAGCTCTTGCTAACTGTGCTTGCCCCTGATAATTAGGCTAGCTCCTGCTACTGGAGTTAGCCGCTGGTTATTGTGTTAGCTCTAGCTAACATAGCAAACAGTCAATGATGTTAGCTTGTTCCAGTCGACATCTTGTCAACAGCAAAACATGGAAACTTTTCATCCTCCTCCCTCCTTGTCTTGGGTTTTGTTTGGAGGTTTTAGGTCAACTTTGACCTGCCCACGCTGTCGACCCAGCATGCATTGCACAGATGAAAAAAAATGGTGAAAAAAACAATAGATTCAACATTTCTAAAGGAATTACTGCTTTTAAGTGTCACAAAGAACTTAACCTCTGTTTTGACTCGTTAATTACATTCCAACATGGAGTCGCCTGGCAGAACTTCCCTCTGAGGTTCTGCACCGTGTGAGCAAACTGGACCTCTGCTCCAGCGTCACACACTGTGTTTTATCGCTTTTAATTCAGCACCAGCAAATCAGAGGCAGCAGCTTCAGGGCTCAAACACACACACACACACACACACACACACACACACACACACACACACACACACACACACACACACACACACACACTGACCTATTTAAAACACCACAACAAACTGGGATCCAGGAGAAGCTGGAGGAGATGAAACCTCCGCAGATAGGATGCGGCCGGCACTAACGCTTTGTTTCTGGAAGCGGTAATCCATCTCTGACAGACGCGTCAAACCATGCGAGGCTTTTCAGGAGTCAGCCCCGACACTGAGGGCAGAATAACAGATTAGCAACCCTAATTTGTCCTGAGGTTTTAATGGCTGAAATTATATGCAATCCTCCCCCATCTTCCATCAATCTAAGTGTTTCCGTGGTCGGTTTGATTTCACATTTATAGGCAGCCATGTGCTTCCAATTTCTCCCGAGGACTAATAAAGACCACTTGAGACGGCGGCCGTTTTGACTGGGTGATTTTTCTCCTCACAGTTCTGAGAACCTCTGCTGGATGTTTGACAGCTCCAAAAGCGGCTCCGGCAGGTTCACGTTTCACCCGAGTTAGCCGGTTCCCTAACCCGACCCAAATGTGGATGGAGGACAAACAGAGCGGGCCGCGGCCTGGATCCAATAAGCCTGTTAGGCTGAGGGGAGCAGCGCGCCGCCGCTGTCAGGAGACGTTAGCGTGACGCCGCTGCGGCTTTAATGAGCGCTTCCTGTCAGAAATCAACGTGTTTCCGTTGGTTACGCCTGGAGACGCTAACCTGTAAACAACATGGCGTCCTGACGGGAATCAGACGGAGTTCAGCTGAGTTGTTTCAGAAAGCCTTCTCACATTTACTCCACCCAAAATAACCCGACATTTCAAAACAGAGGCTCTTTGGTTATTCAAAGAGATTAGCGCTGAAATGATTGATAACTTAATACGAGGCTCTGGGGAGAGATTCCCATTAACCAGCCTTACTGGTGTGAAGGCAACCAGTAAGGCTCCATTCACACCAGCACTGATCAGTCCGCCCTGAGGAGACTCCGGTCCGCCCTGAGGAGACTCCAGTCCGCCCTGAGGAGACTCCAGTCCGCCCTGAGGAGACTCCAGTCCGCCCTGAGGAGACTCCGGTCCGCCCTGAGGAGACTCCAGTCCGCCCTGAGGAGACTCCGGTCCGCCCTGAGGAGACTCCAGTCCGCCCTGAGGAGACTCCAGTCCGCCCTGAGGAGACTCCAGTCCGCCCTGAGGAGACTCCGGTCCGCCCTGAGGAGACTCCAGTCCGCCCTGAGGAGACTCCAGTCCGCCCTGAGGAGACTCCGGTCTGCCCTGACATAACTCCGGTCCGCCCTGACGTGGCTCCGGTCCGCCTTGAGGAGACTCAGGTCCGCCCTGACATGACTCCGGTCCGCCTTGAGGAGACTCCGGTCCACCCTGAGGAGACTCCGGTCCGCCTTAAGAAGACTCCGGTCCACCCTGAGGAGACTCCGGTCCGCCTTAAGGAGACTCCGGTCCGCCCTGACATGACTCCGGTCCGCCTTAAGGAGACTCCGGTCTGCCCTGGTCTGGTTTTCCGTCTGTTCGTCTTCCTCAGTGATTCAACCTGGACTCTTCCAGACTAATCCCAGCTCATCAGAACCAGAACCCTGTCCTCTTTGGATCTGTCTATGGGCAGAACCTCCTGAGCGATATCAGAACCGTGATGATACTGGCCGGGCTCCCAGAACCCGTCGGCCCGGTGAGGAAAGCAGAACCAGAACCACTGCGGCCCGATGACCTCCAGCATTCAGGAACACTTGATCCCAGCGTCTCCACTGGTTTTCCTTCTGCGCTGATGGAAACCAGCAGAAACATTTCAAAGAACCACAACAGCCCAGATGATTAGACACCGGGTCAGGACGGGAAGAAGCTGGGTTTGCTCGGGCCATAATTACAGAAAGCTCATGCTTTCGTTTTGATTCAGATCATGTATTATTTGACTGCTTTGATGATCCGCTCTAAGAAAAGCAGTTATGTAAAAATAAACTCCAGAGAAACACGGAGACGATTATTGCAGTGAAAAACGAGAAACTACTTCGAAATAAAATAAAAACACAAAAATACCAGTGAAAAGAAAACAAAGAAGAAAATAAATTTCAATGTGGGGAAAAATTTCTGGTGAACAAAAGAAAAAACTAACCAGAAATAACATTTTAAAAATCCAGAGAAAAAAGGGAAAAAACTGCAGTGGAAAGAAAAAAAGTTTCCAACATGAAATAAAAGAAACTTCAGTTATGAACAAATTGTGTTTGACATCATAATTACTGTAAATTTCCTGGTAATCAATTAACTGGTTGCTGTGGTGATTGGCGTCTTTTTTAGGCCCAAACAGGAAGAGAAACCGACAGCAGGAAACAGATTTACCCTCAAACAAAATGAAACGTTGCGTTAAAGTAATTCAGAGAATCAGAACCTCCTGATGGAAACCAGCAGGAGATCCGAGACGTCAAACAGAACCTTGTGGCCCGGTTTGTCCAGAACCGTTCACTGGAATATAATGGAGTGAAAGAGAGTGGGCGTGTCCCTCTGAACCCTGGCCTCTGATTGGTCAGAAGAGTCCAAACATATTTTATGGCTTTAATTCAAATGGAACCAGAAAAAAGGGATGAATAAAAATAACAGTTTCAAAGCTTTTTAATTCTAAACTTAAATAAAAACATTTAATGTTTTTCATCGGAATCTTTTGAATATTTAATAAAATAAAAATGAAAGCGTTTCAAATGTTTTTCATGGTGAACTTTAATAAAACATTTGTGGGATCCTGCATTAAACACGTGTTGCTTCTGATTTAAAGTCAGTTACCCGGATGAATCGGCGCCCATTCACACGCCGCTCCGTAAATCACAGCTCATATATGGAAACGCCAAGCGGCCTGTTTGGATGCATTAAAGGCATGACTCAGCATTCTGAAGCCATTAAACGTTAAAAACGGTTTGACCCCAAGTTAAAGACCCAGAGCCGTTCTAAAAGCTGTCAGTCTCAGGACGCCGTCCAGATTTTTCTCCTGCGTTTCCAGAAAATCCTCGCAGGCGTCCAGGAGGTGAGTCACTGCCCCAGTAATTACCTCAGCCGGCCTAATTAGAGCTGACAAGTCTGAAGGTAAAAGCCCACCTGCCTGTACGCTATAAACGGCTGCTTTTGATTGGACCGCATGGCTCACCGCCCAGGGCTCCACCTCATCAGGGGAGGCTCATAAAAAACCCAACAAGTTTTCTACTGATTCCCTGCATCGATATGAGCACGGTTAGATAATAAGGTCATAAACAGCTAATAACCCAGTTATTCTGGGTCAAATTAAAGGCACACTTCACCTAGTTTGAAGAAATCTGCTCAAATAGATCCATTTCATGTCACTGGGACATATCGGGAAATTTAACGCCCAACACCGCCATCCATGGCGGCGCTTCGCATTAGAACCGTTAGCTCACTGAAACCTGGAGATGCAGGAACTCAGGGCAGTGCACCACAGCAAAGGAAATTAACGCAGATAAACCGTGACAGAACAACTCAAAAGCACTTTGATCGTCCCCTGAATCGGCGATGCCGCACACGGACACGCTGCCATGGCAACTGACAACAACGCTGCTTAAGTTTCAGGATTCAACACCCAAAAACACTCAAACATTTTCCACACAGAGCAGAACACTCAGTCTGCTTCAGTGTCATGTTTTCAGTCTTATTTGTTTTGTGATTATTAATAAATGATCGCTGTGGTAGATTAGCTACCGCTGCCATTAGCTAAGCTAACACAGTGGTGGTTGAGTAGCTAATTTAAACACCTGCCCGACTGATGAAGTAGTGTTTAGGTCGCCTTTTCTAATTTTGTAACTGAACCGAAACACATACAGTTCCACAGCACACCTACATGTTAAGGTTGTCATAGTCAAGCTAGCATAATTGAACTACCTCCCTCTCTATTTTTTCTTAATGAAAAAATTTCCTGACCTTCCTGACAGTTGTCTCAGTGTTGATAAGCAGTAGCAAAGCAATGTGTCCCTTTTTCTTTTATTTATATAAAATGTTGTGTGGTATGTAGCTAAAATAGCTAAAATCAATGCTAGTCATCGTTAGCGAGCAGCTTAACGATGCGGGGTGCAGCGCACTTGATGTCACGCAGCAACGGGTTTAGATTCATTGTGAGATTTTTCAAACAGCTTTAGCACTAGCATTAGCCAAAGTTTGGTTGTAACTAGTTACATTTACTCAGAATATTTCATTCTGAGGAAGAAATCTGCTTTTAGGAGAAATTTTACTACGCTGTAGTTTTTACTTGAGTAAAATTTGTGGATCCTCAACTGGGAGAAACTTCACTGAATGAAGAACAAACTTCCGTTCTTGTGAAAGTTTCATCACATCAGATGATGCAAATTTTAAATATTAAATGATTGATGTTTTGATCAGTCACTCGAGTAGCATTTTAAAAAATACCTTTTTACTTTACCTTGAGTAAAAACATGTTAATGTTGAGCTAATTTAGTCTAATTCTTGGCTCCTCTCGGCCCTCTGGCGTTAGCTTAGCATAGCTTAGTGTAGCTTGTGTGTGGAACAGTTTGCCCTCTGTTTTGCTGACTCTGCTGGTTTTTAAAAGCAACTGAAAACTCTTTTAGTTTCCCAGGCTTTGTTTCATTCTTTAAGGTCAACTTTTATTGTACTGTGTTGTGATTTTGGCTGTGAAAAGCGCTCTATAAATAAACCACACTTCACTTACAAAAGCATGAAGATGCTAAATCTGAGAGCTACATGGAAATGTGTTTGGATGGTGAAACACTGAGGGAAAACGACGTCAACAGTGAAATTACAGTGGTGCTTCTGCAGAGGGAAGCGTTTAGACTCATGCATTGTTCCACCTCATCTTTCCAAACACACCTACCCGGTGATTAAGAAGCGAGCAGAGACAAGTCTGAACGCCTCCGACACACAGCTGAAGGCCAAACCCAGCCATTCACTCCTTCGTCACCCAGATACGTTTAATGAAAATGTTTCTTACCTGTTCGAACTCTCTGAGGCTGTGCATCTGGACCGGAGGACCTTTTCCTGTTTCATCATACGAGAAATCTAAAGGAGGACAGAGAAAAAACAAGCTGTAATTTAGCAACAAGGTTTCAAAGGTTCTTCATTTAGTTTGTCTTCAGAGTTTCCAGCAGATCTCTGAATGTTAACATTTTAGATTAATGTCATGAAAAGCAAGAAAAGGTGAAAACAAACTGTTTATTTGTCCCGTTTTAATAAGAATCCTGTGATCTGACTACTAGAAACAAGTTGATTTCTGCAGCACATTTCAGCAACAAGGCAGTTCAAAGAGCTTTGACAAAAACAAACAACTTACAAGAGCTGCATTACAGTACTAACATAAACAGAAGTCATAAGATGTTGTAATCCAGACTATAATGAATGATAATCCAGTTATTATGAATCAAAGGAAGCTCTAAACACGTTTTACATTTGATTTATCCTAAAACAGCATCAGCTCTTTAATCCTGGAAATGTTCAGTGGGTGATAGAAGGCCGACTTTGAAACCGTCTTTATGTGACTCTGAAGGTTCAGGTCTGAGTTCATCAACATTAGCCTGAAACAGTGAGTTTCAGGCTAAGCAGGAACTCACTGTTAATTTATTTATCCTCATAAATATATGAGGATTCTGTTAAGAGTGTGGGACTAAAGAACTGACCCAGGAAAGGTTAACCAATCAAATAAGCTGTTTAATTATTTCATTGTGGCCTGCAAATCTGAAATATTTTGAGAAATATTAACATTTTTGTGGGAAATTTTCACGACTCTATAATCATGATGAAAATTCAGCGTTTCTCATACTTTAGTTTGTTACAGTTTATTGTAAAAGTTTTTATTTTTAGATTTGTGGCACATCTGGGCTTCCATAGGTGGCAGTTTGATATTAGTGCTGCTGAAGCTGGAACACTAAGAGCTCATTATATGCTGATTATAGATAGATTTATTCACACATATTTATAAACTGTGAATAAATACTTCCACATGACGTTTCTAAACGCAGCAGACCGGATCTGAGTTTTATTGGTTTAAAGGTCTGACGGTTCTTTAGTAAAGAGGTTCCTGATGAAATCTCATGAGGTTTCAGGAAGAGTCTTTATTTATTGGACAGAGAGGATTTTAACAGCTGCCATTTTGTGGTCAGAACATGATGACTAGGTTTAAATTTTGAGGAAAATCTGAAATATTTATAGACTTATATAATAAACTGTTGAGTTTTTTGGCCCTTCCTGTTGTTCTGTTTGCTGGTTGACCGAAAACCAGCAAATTTACCTCCATATTTGACTCTGTATGTATAATTATGAGCCAGCAGATCAGAGCAGCCCATGGTTCTTGTTTTTAACATCTTAAAAACCAGAGAAAGAAACTGTAAGGTTAGTAACTTTTAATATAAATTCACAAATCTGTAATAAATAATACTTTAGATCTGAACACCTAAAATATGATAATGATTTACTTTAAATAAAGAAAAGTTTCCAGAGTTTCCAAACTGAAATCAGGAGTCGCTCTGCCATGGTAAGTTTTACTGGAATCTTATTGAAATAAACAATAATATTGTTGTTTTGAGACAAATTTCCAGCAGTTTGATGGTGATGGGATAATAATGATGCAAGAACACATTCTCAAAGATCAACAAACTTTAAATTCTGATGAACATTTAACACTGGAAAACATTTTAAAGATCTCAAATAAATAAATAAAGCAAGAGAAACAAATAAAATGAATTATGAAATCACTGTGAACAAAATTATCCTTAAAATCTGTTTAGAGCAAAACACCAGACAGGATGATCAATCACTCAGACTAGGAAGTGATTGTTTTGATTGTTTATTGCTTCTTGTGACAGGCGCAGCAGCGAGGAGGGAAACGTTTCAGGAAGTTCTTACCCATCGTGGGTCCGAGGCTCCTGGGCCGGGCCGGTTTCTCTGCAGCGCCGTGCCTGAAACCAGAGACAGGGTCAGCCAGACCGTCCCAGAACCCGGACTCCTAACGCAGATGGTCCAGATGCTGCAGGAGCGCAGCAGAAATCCTCCAGAGGCGCTGCAGCAGGGCGGGCCGGCGCTGACCCGTCGGGCTGCTGCGGGTCCTGAGTCAGCGCATGCCTCAGGTCACACCGCCGTCACTCACCAATGAAGACACAGTAAACAGTTAGAGGAGTTTCTTCCAACCGCTCATTACTGGCTGGATCCAGAGGCTGCAGGCACCGCTTCAGAACCTCAGCAGCAGTTCTGGATTACTGTAACTGGACTTCATACAGAAATCAGCATAGTTCATATGAACAGAGTAAAAACTAGTTTCTGCTTTTCTTCAGTCTGTTTTGATGTTTGGTGGAACTGAAATCATTTATTCTGCAGCTGGAAAAACAAATGCAAAGAACAAAACAAACGGCCAGAGTGTGTTAAACACACACAACATGGCACAAAAATCAGCACGTTAGCATTAGCTTCCACAAAACACCATGTTAGTCTTTTGCTTTAGCGTTAGCTTGCACTAACTACAGGTTCTGCTGAGCTTTAGCATTAGCGGTCTGAAGCAGTTTATGTTTTTGATCTTTAATAATCAAAGATCAATGATCTTTAATCATTGATCATTTGATAAACATCAAATGTTTGTTTATTTTTCAGCGGGTAAAACAAAACAACAAAAATCACAGAAAAACAAATTTTTGTAATTTTAATGTAATAATTTTTGTTTCCTGTTCAAATTTGACACTTTTGGCAAAAAGTTTGGACTCGACTACCTTAAAGGCACAATGCATGTAAATAATAATAATAAATGTAACACAATAACATTTATTATCATTATGCAACTGTTATTTCTTTAATCATAACATCATCACTGCAGTTCTGTCTTGGTTTATCTCAGCTGTGAGATAAAACTTGAGCTCATTTTTAGCAGCTCAGAGTTGATCCAGATGATTTCCTGACAGGATCAGCTGTGGCCGTCTGAGCCTCTGAGCTGAAGAGGCAGAAAGTGAGCGGTGGTTCTAACAGCAGGACGGCCGCAGAGAGCCGCATTCGGACCCGTCCACTGCGCAGAAATACCTCCATCCCCACAGGTCCAGAGTCAGCAGCTTACCGGCCCCTGTAGAGGAATCCACTCATGTCTCCTCAGGTAAACACCTGAACACCTGGACTGGTTCAGACTCCTGACCCGGTCCGGTCCGGTCCGGTCCGGTCCCGGAGCAGCAGCGGGGCGCAGAGAGGAGCTTCCCGCCGACGTGGCAGAGCAGCAGCGCGGAGAGGAGGTGAGCGGCTCAGGGGAGCAAAAGGTACAGAGAGCTGTCTGTCTCAGCGCCTCACTGGGTGTGTGTGTGTGTGTGTGTGTGTGTGTGTGTGTGTGTGTGTGTGTGTGTGTGTGTGTGTGTGTGTGTGTGTGTGTGTGAGAGAGAGAGAGAGAGTGTGAGTGAGTCAACATGTGCACAAACCACCGTAACGTCTTTCCACTCAGACAGTCGGACTGTTTGCCTGAGGTTCATCCTGAATGCAGGGTGGAGCCCCCCCTCCCCTCCTCCTCCCTCCCTCCAGGTGAGTGCATACCTGTCTGAGCAGGTACCAGCTGGAATGTCTATAATCTTTGGCTGGCAGTCGTGCAGGAAAATCACAAACAGACTCAATTGTTTGTGCTCTGACTGGATCAGAACCGGACCAGAACCTCCTCTGTCCGTCCACTAACTGGAAGGTGTGGCCCCCCACATCAAAGCTCCAGTCCAGCCCAGTTCACCTGAGGAACTGGGCTGGAGCTCCAGCCAGCAAAACACCCAAAGCAAAAATAATAAAATTATCTAATTTATGACTCAGCAAGTTTTTCTGCAGAGTCACTGGATTTAAAATCAACCAAACCTGAAAAAGGGAATAAAATTAAAACCTGATGGAAAGATGAAAAAGTAAATCAATAAAAATCTGGATTTGTTTTTTGTCTTGATAAATGCTGAACTTTTAGGGTAATTTCAGTTTATTTGGTCTTAATCTTTTGGTCTTTTCCCAGCAGTGAAACGAGAACCACAGAAGAATTAACGTCATATAGTGTTTTGTTTCTGCTTTGCTTTAGTTAAGAAGTGGCTCAAAGTTTACAGCGCTACGAACTGCAACATTAAATCACGGTGGTTAAAATACTTTGCATCTAAGAATTTAAAGAATTTAATTTGGTATTGAAGTTCTCCTGCCAAAATGATCAAATTGTCCACTGGAGGACAAATCTGTGGCATTCTGGGGCCACACAAAATCGTTCAAAGGACCGCCAATGGCCCCTGCGCCACACTTTGGGCACCCAGACTTGGAGTAACTGTTTCCTCCCAAGTGTTTGATGGAGCTGAAGTTAAACGCTGTGCGAACAGCCCCAGAGAAATGTTCCCTCGTCATCAGTAAACAACCTGGAGCAGCTGAACGGTACCGGCAGACGGAACCAGCTGGGACAGCAGGAGGCGCTCAGAGGAAATGAAGGAAAAGCACCAGCAGCTTCAATCAGCCGGGCGGTTCTGATCCGGAACATTTCTGGTTCGCTCTGTTCACGACTCCTGGTCCAAGATCAGGAATCTGCTGGAGCCGCTCAAACACCAGCTCCACATTCCTCACATGCAGGAATGATGAGGAGAGGCCAAAAGGGAGGGGCGTGGGCCGCAGCTGGACCGTAGGTGTGAACATACAGGACCCGACGTCAGAACTATTATTGTGCCTTAAACATAAAAACGTGCCAAAGCGATGAGCTCCTTGACTGGCTCTCCTACCATCACAAACATAAACGGCAAGTTTTCTGCATTGGAGTTTAGAAACTAAATATTTAGCTTTAAATTAACATTTAGACAGCTGAACTAAATATTAAGCTAATCTGAAAATTCAGCTGAAGATAAGCGGAAGTGGACCATCAAAACAAGCTTCATATTTTCCTTGCTAATAAAACATTTAGCTGCAGACTCTGGGCCGTCTGCGGACAGTCTGCAGACGGTTTCCAGACCGTCTGTAGACCATCTGTAGACAGTCTTCAGACGGTCTGTAGACGGTCTGCAGACAGGAACAAGCCAACATGTTCTGCAGCAGCAGCAGCAGCAGAACTGCTCCTCCTGGATTTTAGTGGTTTGATATTTTATCATCTTGTTGTTGGACAGTCTGTGAATAAATTAGACATCAGACATGATTCCTCTGTTCTTTACGGCTCAGTAATAAACCACCTGTATGAACTTAATGACCATCCCTCCTCCAGCTCCAGACGGCTGATGCTCTCACAGGGACGGTTCAGTTTGCTCAGAGTTTAAAATCAGCCGTGAAAACTTTATGTCCTGCTGGTTTCCCAGCGCACGGTGGGATGGGTTGTTATTTCACTCCTCAGCCCAGGAGGAGGAGCTGCAGTGAGAGTTACACCCTGTAATTATCCTGCTGACACTTTCTGCCTTCGCTCCATCTGAGGCACAAAACGCCTTTTCAAAGAAAACATGACAACAAAAGTTTAATATCCAACGAACATGATCTTATTTTAAATTACTGGGCAACTTGTGTTAAAGTGGAAATCAGCTGATAATAGCCAGTGGTGAAGGACTAGCGACACGAAGTAGGCCAAAGGATTTCAAAAAGCAACAAATCGTCCTGATCCAGAACAGATTCTTCTGAACAGATTCTTCTGAACCGATTCTTCTGAACCGATTCTTCTGAACCGATTCTTCTGAACAGATTCTTCTGAACAGATTCTTTACTCTGAACCAAATCAGTCAGTCGTTCTTTATTACAACTTTGATTTATTTTAATGCTCTAAGCATTTTAACAGCTGCTATCTTCACTTGATTTCAAATTATTTTTACTTATTTTCAAATAAACAAATTACAAGATAATAATTGATAAGTGTTATATTTAACGACAGTTTTTGTTCCTGCCAAAGCAGCTCAGGTCCATTTTTTCTATTATCTGTTGCATTTTCGTTTAATTTGTTTCTACATTACAGTCATAACATGATATTAAATTACTTGAACTAAAGACCTACATCAATATTTAATATTTATATTTTATGATCATACAGTGGTTCAATTTTTCACCTTCTGAATCAATATTAATTTGACCTTTTTGTTAGTTTCACTCAGAAATGGATCCCAGCAGCAGTCAGACATGGTGGTGGCAGAGTGATGATGTGGGCTGCTTTGCTGCTTCAGAACTGGGAAGACTTGCTTTAACATTTGTTTAGTTTCTGAACTGAATGTTTAGTTTGATAACTATTTAATATGCTAAGTAAACATTTGCCTTTCTAACAATTTACCTTCAGAACTAACAAATTAACTTTCTAACTACTTAGTTTGGAGGTAAATATTTGATTTCTAAGCTAAATATTTAGCTTTATAACTATTTAGCTTGCTAAGTAAACATTTAGTCTGGATGTAAATATTTAGTTTATAAACTAGATGACTGGCTTGCTAACTATTTAACTTGGTAAGTGAATACTGACTAAATATTTAGCTTGCTTAAATAAATTAGCGAGTATGCTAGCTGCTAATTAGCTTGGAGCTAAACATTGGAAAATAAGGCTTTGCAGAATGAACCCATTTTTTCCTTGTAAGAAAAGCTAAGTAACGAAACCTTTGCTTTAATTTTTGAAAGTGTAACTTACAGAAACACAGTCAGATAAATTTATCGTAGTTTAAGTTAATAAAAGTCTGCTCTTTCATGTTAAACACTCTGGCGGTTTTTGCTGTGAGGAGTTTGAAGAGCCGTTTGTTTCTCATCCAGGAAACATCAACCTTCAGAAACCGGAGCCCTGATGACTTCACTGTAAAAGTCTCCATCTTTAAAATGCATCTGCAGTTTTCTGCAGCTCCGTTCGGTTCAGTGGGAGCATGTGGCCTTTATTACCGGCCTGCATGTGTTTCCACTCCAGCATCCCAGCAGGCCCAAGCATGCATTATTAATAAGCGTCATGACGACCCCCCCGTCCAGGGCTCACGTTACTAAAGAGCGCTTTTCCCAAATAATCAATAACTCAGAGTGAAGTTTAGGCTCAGATTACATGAATCTGCAGCCAGACGCGTTCTTCAGACAGGAAGGGAACAAATACAGCGACATAAATGGAGTTCTTTAAAGGAAAACCGAGCGCTTAGCGGGGTTAGCTTTGCTCTTTCTGCTTTTCTGGGTAATAAGAACTGAGCGAGAGGTCAAAGGTTGAACACATGGACGATTTTTAGCAGTTTTCAGTGAAAACATTAAAAGAAAAACATATGAGAAACAATAATAGTTTTAAAGACTGCAGCGGCGTTGATTCAACGTCCTGACAGAAACAAACGCTTCGTCTGAGAGGAAAGTCACTGGAAACATCCGACTGATTCAGGGAGGAACAAACATCAGGTAGAGAGCAGAGGTCGGACTTAATGCATTAGGCTTACTGGTGTTGGTGGGGTCAAAGGTCAGGGTTAGGGTTAGACCTGACGCAGGTCTTCACGTCTCATTCTGCTACCAGGGGACAGACGACGCGCCGATGGCGGCTAACCGTCTTCTGTCACCACATTTAAGGACATCTGGGCTCCAAATGTTTTCATGCTCTTCCTACAATCTCTCACTTTTCTCCCATCATCGCTGCACAATTAAACTGACTTTATAATAAACTGTAAATAAATGATTCACAGATCAAAGTCAGTGAAATATCCCAGAATGCTGCTATAATCAGACGACTTAACATGTTTGACCCTCTTCAGGATTTTCTCTGTAATCATCGACACACTGAGCCTAAATAAAGCTCAGAGGTCAAAGTAACCCTGACAGGACAGGCTGTACGCCGAACCCAGCAGGAAACATCCGGGTTAAAGTCTGGTTTTCTCTCTTTCTGCAGGTGCAGAAGCAGATTTCTACGTGTCGGCGGGTATTCTCTCTCTGATTCTGATTCTTCAGACATTTCTCCTGTCCTGGTTTCTCTTCAGTCTCTGTTACATGTGAAATTACAATTCAAGCAATTTTGAATCAAGTTGTTAATATTTATATCAGGTGGAGCATCATTTAAAATGCTGCAACGCTCCACTAGTGAAAGTAAATGTGTTGGGCTTCACCTTGACACTAGAGGTCACCATGGAAACAGGGCACAAGCAATGAAGACTACTAAATAAAAGTAGTTAAAACTACTGTAGTAGATAATTCAAACTGTTTTTGCATTTTGATGTTAAACACAAATGTTTGCACCATAAACGTCCCAAAAACTGGGATGAAAAGCCAAACAATAAAACAACCTCATGTCTGTCTGAATGGATGCTACTGAGCATGCTCAGTGGCCAGCTGCTGATACAGACATTCACTCTGGTTCCTCAGCACACAGCGGAGTCACTGACCAATCAGACGGCACAGAAATATCATCAAAATGATCTGTCTCCATTTTCCTAACATCCAGAGGTAGTTCACACAAATATTCCAGCAACAGAGAGGAGGACAGACTCAACTCTGGTTCAAAAATGAAATAAATTGAAACAAATCACAACAATTCCAGGCAGCAAAAATTAAAAAAACTTCAACTTAAATCCAGAATCAACCTGGAGCAATACAAGCAGAAAGCAGGAGGAGAGGAAGTGATGACAGAGGTGAGTCAGAGAACCTGCAGCAAACACAAAGTTCAGCCGGAAAACAAACACAAATGCAACAAACAGGAAGCCTAACCAGAGCAAACAGGGCCAACTGGGAACCACAGCTCCCACTGCAAAACGTCAATAGTGAACAGGAAGCAGGAGGAAGAGGAGGAAGAGCAGCGATGCTGTGCTGCCTCCTCTTCACCAGCTCTAACAGACAGTCTGCAGGAAGCAGAGATATTTATAGAACATGTCTGTCCCTGAAGCAGCTTCAGCTCAAACATCTCACCTCACTTCCTGCTGGGAGTCCCGTCCAGCTCCGGTCCCGTCTGCAGCGGCCCGACCCGATCCGCCATGCCGGTCCGGATCCAGGAGTCCGGCTCCGTCCCTGAGCATCACCTCCGTCTGGAGGCAGAGGGATGATGCTGCTGCTGCTCACCATCCACCGCCGCTGCTCCGCTTCCAGCTGATTGGCTGCTTCGCATGAAGGGGAACCCCCCTCCTCATCCTCCTCTTCATCATCTCCCTCCACAGTGCAACACGGGCCAGACCAGATTGACACGCGTGACATGTGCAGCCTGCCTCCCAGCGGCACCCTGCACCCACACAGAGGAGGAAACACGTTAGCTTTAGCTAACACGTTAGCTTTAGCTAAGAGATTGGCTTTAGCTAACACATTAGCTTTAGCTAAGAGATTGGCTTTAGCTAAAAAAATGAAGAAATAAATCAATTCTCCTTCCCACTCTGGTCTGCAAACAGACCAGCACATTTGTGCTGGAAAATGTGTTTTCCAGCACAAATGTATGCTAATAAAGTAACTGTTACCTTCAGCAATTATAAAAATGTCATTAATATTAAATATGACTTAAAAGAAACTTTCTTCTTCGCTTTGTCTCCTTGAAATTGGGTCTCTGTCTCTTTAAAAACTCCTGCTGTTTCTGAAGCTCCGCCTAAAGGGAGTCATCCCAACATGGCTCCTTTAATGTTTGTACCAGCGCTCCTCTGAGCAGCAGCTGCTATCACAGCTCAGCAGGTGTTTGCTAAATGCTGCAGGCTAGTCTGAAGGAGTTGACTGGAGGAGGAGCTGCACCTCAAAGGCGGGGCTAGGTCCAGTCAGGAATTTTGCATAGCTGAATGGTTGGCATGGAGATTAAAGGATTCGTCAAACATGAAAAAATCAAAGCTATGATGACAGAATAATAATAATACGATACCGCCCCTTTAACGTTGGGAATTACACATACATCATTATTACCATCATTAGTCAGAAATAATACTATTAGCAAGTGCTAACAACATTAGCTGGAAGTTAGCATCATTACCAAGAGGTAATTTTTCCATTAGCAGTAGCTAACACCTTTAGCAAAAGCTAACAGCATTAGCGAGAGCGAACATAATTAGCAAGCACTAACGCAAAATCAAGACAAATTGGAATGAATTGATCTTTAAATAGACTGTAAAGCATCTTTAAGTCTTTGTAAGAAACCATTCTGATATGTAAGGGAAAACGTTTTAACTCAGATGCTAACCGTTAGCATCTCGAGTTAGAAAGCGGAGCGTTTAGCTGTGACTGCTTCCGGGTTAGCATTCCCAAACAGGAGAGCAAACTCCGGATTTCAGCCGACTCTCGCCTCTTCCTCTGTTTGCTCCTCCTCCTCCTCTTCATCTCTCGTATCATTTCGACGCGGTCCGGGCTGAAGGGACCGGATCGGTCCGGTTCTCGTCCCCGCTGCGCACCGACCGAGTCGCTTGTACCGCCGCTAAAACAGCGAACTACGGACACCGTGAAAGCCCAAAAAACGTCTTTCAGAGAAGTTGTACCACTTTATCCGCTTTTTGCAGCGCGCTCTCACCAAACACACAGATATAAATCATTCTTGTAGTTCACCTCCTGTTGGAGCTAACAGCTGGCTTCACAGACTGATGTATTTACTGTCCATATCTGGCGGCCCTCGAAGGTCATAATTTAACAAAAAAAATATTTTAACAGAATTTTTATGAACCGTGACAGCCCATTGGTTGATTTTACTGACGGACATTGGGCTTATCCAATGAAATCCCTCAGTCCTCCCTGGCCCCGCCCCTCCTCTCAGAGGTTATGCCGCCAGTTCTACTGGATACGAAACGAGGCAGGTCAGAAAAATATATCAAACTTTATTCAGATTCAGGAGCTGAGATGGAGGGAAGTGACTGTGACAGGATGATGATGAGAGACAGACAGATGGAGGAAGAGTTCAGGTCAGGAGGTTTAGGTGGCGTTAGCATGAAGAAAGAGCGTTTCATGAGGGAGAAGGAAGCGAAGCTAACGCTAAGCTAGCAGGTAAAAACCTTGAATTTCAAAAGAAAATTGAAATTTTTTCCATTGAAAAAAAATTCAATAGAAATTTTTCTGTTGAAAAATAGAAAAATGTATCAATAGAAAAATTTCCCTTCCGTTTGTAAGGGAAGACAAACTGAAAAATTAGAAAACAGACATTGAAACCATTTAAAAATGTTTAAAAAATGACTAGACACGTTTTCAGTAAGTACTGTGTGGGGAGTTGTACCCAAAATGTGGAAAATATTCAACATTGGAAATGACTGCAAGAACGTCAAGGCGGTCTAGTTAAAGTTTGTTGTTAGTAATTCAAGTGAAATTATTGCACTTCACCTCTGATAGGGTATCCATGCTTCAAGTTAAATTAGTCTGTATTCACATGTATGATAAACTTATTGTCAGTGACTCGACTTTCATAGAGTTAAGAATAAAAAAAAATATTGATATAATTTGCTTGTACTGGTGGGGTTTGTAAGAAACAGTGGCTGGTAAAAAATGTTAACATTTTTAATTTCCACCCCTGAATTAAAGCTAATTATAAATCATCTTCATATCGGCCCGGTTTTACTTATGGAACCGGTTCCGATTCTAATGCAGATTTTTCTCTGTAGGGAATGTACTGATGAAGTTCACACTTGGCTCCATCAGCTGAAGATGCCTGAACTGAACTGAACTGAGTCATTCTTTACTTCCTTTTAGCTTCTACTGTATTTCATGAATCATATCTTCTAAACTTGGTTTTCCAGTTGAAGCGTCACTCAGAACCAAAAACAGCAAGTTTCCATTTGAAAGGCTGGTTCTGGTACTGAACGTGTCAACCCATCCGGACCTCTTCGGGAACCCAAAATAACTATTGTGTAAATATTGCAACATCATTTCTGTGCATCAGATAAACCGGAGTTCATCCTTCACAGGAAAAAACAAATCAGCCGATCTGACTCAGGAGGATTATTTTTGGATCAGGTGCGATAATCACGCTCAAAAATATCAAACTTGTGAAACGGAAATGAAAGTGATGCTTATAAAAACTTCCTGAATAGATGAGCGTATCTTGTGAAAGCAGGATAAACGACTAAAATAAAACCAGACACTCTTTAGAACGGCTGCAGTTTGTAAAGTTTAGTTCATCTGAATATTAAATAAATCATTCCAAGAAATTCACAAAAATTGACAAAATGTCCTTTTTATTGGATTAAATAAGGTGATTACAACTTACACTAGAGTAAATAAACTTTGGCTCTGAATGTTTTAAGAACATTTACAAAAATATTTAGAAAAAATTCATTATTTTCCTCTGCATTGTTTTATTTTATAATAATAACAATAATAATCTTTAATACACAAATTTACCTTCATTAGTTAAAAAAAGAAACATAATAAAAGATCACAAACTACAACAAAGTTTGTGATCTTGTACGTAAGTAAGGAATAAAGACAGTAACTCCCTGCTTCTGGTTCTGGTTCTGGTGGGATCAGAGCTGACTGACGGACTGCGTCGCCGTCTCCCTGGTCCGTTTCTCGGCAGTTTCCTCCGGAGACAGACACAGAGTTTTCCTGCAGACGTTCTTGAAGACGGGACTGGAGAAGTAGTAGACGACCGGGTCCAGAGCGCTGTTCAGGTAGGTGAGCGTCACGGAGACGTAGAAGGCGACGGCCAGCTCCTCCGACGCAGAACACACCTGCACAGGTACGAGGGACAAAGTGAAGAAGTATCTGGTAAAATCTGATCATAACATCAATTATTTAATTTTTTTCACTAGTTTTAGCTTTAAATCCTTCCATCATTTACAGATGAAAATCAGCCTCTGACTAAACCCGGCATATTTGCATCATGTTTATTAATATTCATTATTCCTTTAATCAAAACATTTAATTCACAAAATCACTGAATAATTATGTCAGAATATGACATAAAGTTATGTGGAAATTGTGGCGTTTCAGAGAGCTAAAAGGAAAATGATTCATATCAATGAAATAACAAAAACAAGAAAAATATGTCCAAATGATTTTTTTCAATATAAAATTGATCAAATTTCAATAAAAGCTGCAGGTTTGCGTTTGGTGAATCTGGTTAAAACAAGTTTGTTCTTCATTCAGTGAAGTTACTGAAGAGGAGCGATCTGCATGGAGTCAGAAATAAATGATATTCTTGACTTTAATCTCAGAAGTTACTGACTCATTTTTTCCCTCAGAACTTTTTCAAAATTTTGACCGTAAACTCATAAATGACCTTTTTTTTTTGTTATTCTTTTCAAAATTCTGATTTTAAA